CATACTGTTGATGCCGTGTCCAGCCGGAGCGACGAGGCATAAACATTAAAATCCATTACAAACGAGGCATTTGTTGCATCCAGTGGGGACATAATTACTGATTATAATGACTTATACTGTCTTTTTACGCGTTGCGTTGCATCGCGCCGCGTAAACATAAAACTGTGTCTGCATTTGTGATCAGAGAAATTACAAACAACAGGTGCTACTCTACACTGCTCAAAACTTGCGTTTGAATCATCAGTGGCAAATCCTTTAAATGAAAACGTACTTTCGTGAGTCAGAACTGCCGGCATTTTAGTCTAACGTTACTCTTCCAGGATCAGTAAACAGTCCTCCATAAAATGTGCTGCACACAAATTAATATTTGGGTTGAAGTGTTCTGGAACAGTGTTGTAAATACAACTTAACCACTGATTTCTAGTCGTGTCCATTTTTGGAAGACCAAACAAAGTAGTTTCGCTTTCACAACGTAACACAGCGTCACACACGGTGGCCTAGAGTGAGCGGAGGCCGGGGACTAGAGTGAGGAACGGCCGGAGGGCTAGAGTGAGCGGAGGCGGGCGGGCTTGAGAACGGCGCGGCCGGCGGATTCGACGAAGGAGCGTCCGGAGGGCTTGCGGCAACCACATGTGACGACCCTGGGCTGGACTCCGCTTCGATATTTTTAAGTTACGCCTTCTTTCTTTGCGTGAACGTTTGGGCGGCGTTATGCAAATCTTCTCACATCGTGACGTAGACATGTGGGGTGTGTTAGAACGAGCCGTTTTAGGTAGGCGTGGCTGACTCTTAACTTTTATAAAGAATATCTCTTTGGATTTGAGACTTTAGTCTTTGCAACTTTACAGATCTTCTTTATGCACCAAGAGCTTGTAACACTCCAAAGAGAAAGGAAAAATTGAAATCGCATCATATGACCCCTTTAAGATACAAAACTGCAAGCGGACGCTCGTGTTAATACACCAAGCTTCCTATTCAGTAGCTTGCATACTATAGCATGTTGAATGCATGCATTTGTTACATTGGTAGTGATAAAAAATAGTAGTTATGTTGTTGAATTGGTGAGAATGTCCACCAAGACACCGCCAAAAACTGATTTTACATTTCCGTGTGAGATAGTAAGGCTGTAAACTGTTCAAAATGTCAATTTAAACGACTGTCTTGTGAGAATCTATAAAGAATGTGGCAGCTGCAATCTCTTTAATGGGCTCAGTATAAACTCCATTATGTGCTTCCTCCATTTTGCCTTGTGGCAGGGCCACTGCTGGCTCGACAGCACATTAGCCACTACCGGCCTGAAGTAGGTGGTGTTTTGTTACATCATAAAATGTTATGAGAGCTATTACAGAAAGCCATCATCCTCTGCCACTCCATTGAGATGCTCGCAGAGACAGACAATTAGGGCGGAGGGAGGGGTCTCTCTTTTCGACAGCATTACTTACCAGGTAAGGGTCTTATATAAAGGTTTTCAGAGTCTGGGTATAGAACAGGTACACAGTCAGGATACTTATATAAACACAATTGTCTGATGTGTCTTGATAAGAACCACTGTATCTAGTGAGCAGCAATTAGATTGATATTTAAAGACCTATACAAAAAGCATTTTACTAAAGCAAATAATTGTAACACTTTTCTAACTAAATACTAGTACTTACTGTATTTTTAAAACACTACTTACTTTAAAACACTAAATTAATGTAACCATCTTTTTTCAGTTTCACTATTCATTAGTTATTAGTACTTATTCCGATAGCAGTCAGTCACAATAGTAACTATTGCACTGATACTTGTAATAAATTCCACATTTTTGTCATTTTTGAATTCTATTGGGATCTGTGATTTGGAGATCAACTGTTCATTTCCAACTAGTATTTACTCCAGTTGTTGCTGATTCCAGTTCTACTAGTAATAGGTACTACTTGTTCTTTACTTGTAACTATTCAAATAGCTACTACTACCTATTCCAATTTCCCTAGCACTCACAGAATAAAACTAGTACCTGTTAATGAGACGCTAGTGAGTATACCAGTTGTTACTATTATCAACTGAATATTTTTAATAAGAACCTAATAAATACAACTAAGAGATACTAATAACTAATGGAATAAAAAAAATAAGTACTATTGTCTAATGCATAGTTACTAGTAAAACTATGTACACTTTTCTTCACATTTCTGGGGTTCTCAGAAGCAGACGTTGTCATAGTTGTGTAAGCTGGGGAATGGAAACTACAAAAAAATATAATGTTTCCATTCCCGTATGACCCAATATTAAAAGAAAATCCAAGATCGCATTTCTGTGATTTTCCAAAAGGGTGAAAAATACTGATTACGTTTTTAAGATTTGCAGTCACTCCCTCAGTCATTGTATTATACCTAAACACTCATGCAGCAACGTTAACCAGCTTTCTGTCATTTAATGCCAAGGTAATAAAACTCAAAGTAGCTTTAGTGTTGAAAATGAACATTTTTATATATATATATATATATATATATATATATATATATATACACGCATACATATATATATATATATATATATATATATATATATATATACATGCATACATACATACATAATAGATTTATGCTGTTAAGCCACTTAACAGGTAAAACAGGTTATCAGTCTGTGGAAAGGGTCCATTGTAAATATACAGCCTACTAGTGGGAGGTGATTAGTTAATATCTGAACCACAGATCCCCAGAGAAGCTGACTCAAGCAGATAGTAGTTGATAGAAATCGCTAGTGGAATAAGTAGCCTACTAATAAGACTTAAAGCTCAAGTACTAGTAAACAAGTATTTTAAAACAGTATTTAAAAATTCTGTATAGATACTGTAATTTCTAAGGAATACAAACTATACTAGGCCACCTGAAATACTATTTGTCCCTATGAGACCTTGAGTGGAGGAGGCAGGATAAAAGTGTAAACCGAGTGCGCCGTCTAGTGGTAATTCAAGGAAATCCTCATATGTGACAGTGGTGTTGTGTTCAGCAGAAATGTCAAGAGGATGCGAAATGCTAATGTTGACAAAACTTTAGAGGAGAAACTTACGGTAAAAGACGTACTCAGTGTAACTTGACCATATCTTGTCGTCAGTGTGCTGGTTGACGAACGAGGCCGTCACTGAGGAGTTACAGGCGACCATCTGGAAGCCGCACTCCGAGAGCATGTCGAAAGAGCGCTCCAGGTGCTTGAACTTGAGGTAAAAGCGGGACGTGTATCTGTCAGGGGTCCTGTCTGGGTCCCTGCTCTCGTTCAGGGTCTCGCCAAAAACTTCTTTGGCCAGCGCGATCCTCCCACAAATCATAATCCGCGGCACCCTCCGGAATTTGGCATCGGTTTGACTCTCCCTGCCCATCGTACAAGACCCGCGATATCCGACTGTGATGAACCCGCTTTTTCTGTCGGCGGGAACCAGCGACGGTGGAGGGCACATCCGCTGGTCGCTTCCTTGAGAGCCGTCCTCGTAATCGCTGTGGATGTATTCGTCGGGACTGGGCTTCAAGTCGTCCGGGGTTAAGAGTTTCACCAAGTCTGGCAATTGAAAGTACTCCGCTTCTTTCCTCAGCCTTCCCTTCTCAGGGAAGTGGTCAGGGAGGACAACTTGCCTGTCTCTGAGGTAGTCTAACACATATCTGAACAAAAACCCATCCCGGTCGATGAAGTAACGACCTTTGGGGTCCCTGGCAAGATCGTTCGATGCGTTATTTTTAGGAGAGAATATTTTCCCCAAAAGGGAGCCGGGGTTGCTGATTAACGTGGCGTGACGGGTATAATACACTTGGCCCCCGACGTTTAGTTCAATAACGTCTGGAAAGCTGCTGTCTTTGGCTCTAGAGTTTCCACTTAACGCCATTGTTTCGGTCATGGGTGCCAAAAAATATCCGTATTTTTGTAAGTTCGCTCTCTACAGCTTCGGAAAGGGTTTAGAAAATACAGACGATGGACCATGCACATTAAATGGCAATAAAAATAGCATTTCAACCAAACTAATTGAAGCAGGTATACCTTACAGTTACAAAAACCACCCTCTTCTCCGCAGATGAAACAAATCAAAAAGAGGGAATGAGCGGCGAAGTATCCGAGCTGGAACTATAGGCGCACAGCAGAGAGTCGCTCCGCGCAAAGGAGGATCGGTTGCTCAGCAGCGGATGGACACGGCTGCTTATTCCTTCGCCTGAAAAAGATAGTACACTTGTATGCAAACGGAAGATGCTGTTTAAATTCTGCAAAAACATTATAGAATATAGCTATTTTTCGGTTAAGCAGGTCCAAAGTTGTTTACAAGTTCGGCAGCGGTTTGAATCCAACTTTTGACGACCAAACTGGATAGTTTCAAACGAATATAATTGAAAACAGTTCAAAACACATATTTTATAGCGACTAAGGGGGTCGATCGATAATCCCAGCTGTTTAGAAGAAAATCCCGCCTGTGATCCTCTGACATAATCCAGGGTTTGTGTGTTGGTGGGGTTTAGAAGTGAAGATGATGCAGCATCGCTCGCTCTCAGGGCTGTGGCGCGGGAAAATAACCGCCTCAGCTGTTGTTGCCTCAGCGGGCGGGAAAAAAGAACACAATGGGTTATCAAAAATTACATCATCTTAAAGGAGTATGCACGCGATGCTATGGCGTTGCTGGCATATGCGTCTGTGTATGATATCAGTGTCAGCCAGCTGTGTTAGCTATAGTTCATGCAGGCAGCATATTGATTTAACTATAGAAAACCGACTGCCTGGAATGATATTTTGTGCTCTCATTTGTTAATTCAAGCGTTTGCCAATGACTTACTGTACTTTTAGAAAGAGAAAAAAAGTATTCTCAGTTTGTGTGAGGAAGTTTGTTCAGTGGAGGAAGCCACAGTCCATTTCAGGACCTTGGACAGCGATAACAATACCTACCACCATACCCACTCTTGCAGGGCTGCCGAGGACCCCCAATTGTGATACCTTCTTAAAATACAAAATTCATTTATAATGTTTGCAAAAAATATTTAGCCTGGTATAGTAAATTAAATAATTAGCAAAATGCAAATAATTAAAAAAAAAACAGTTTTGTAATGCCATTGTACTAAGGCAAAATAAATAAAAATTTAAATATTGTCTGGAAAATATTGACTTCATATTAAGTTGACAGAGTATATTTTTTCCCGCATACTATTAGCGATTAAACCAACAAAAAGAAACATTCTCAATGTAATTCAAATGAATTTGTGCTTTTCCAGACCAGCTTTAGAGAGAATATTGGCTTACAAACCCCAGTGAGCAAGATAAAGGCGGCGAAGAGGATTCTGCATGATGCCCCCCCCATTTATTTGTTTTCCTTAATGTGAATGTTGTCTTATGTTTTTTAGACTGTGACTGTCAGTAGCGATGTAATCTAATATGTTGCCGTTTTATTTAGTGTTCTTAAATACCAGTTTTGATAAAGGTGCATAGATCAGAATAATCAATTCTTTCGAATAAATATTAAATAGTATCGCATATGGGGGGAAAAAGCATATGACACCCCCTCTCCCCATAATAAGACCCGCTGTAGTCTTTCAGAAACATTAGACTATTTTCTTAAAAGCATACTGTTATGTCTAAGTTATTTTCATGTGATGTTCTTTGCCTGATCTTTATTGTAGATAGCTGCTACACTGTATAGCCTTTTAGCTCTTTAGCATTTGTTATAATGTATTTTTCACAATATTCTGTCAATATTCAGAAAAAGATAAATATTCCTGGTGCTCTGGTGTACCCTACTATTGTGGAAAGTATGCTACTTACTAGATAGTTTGAGAGAGAGAGAGAGAGATAGATAGATAGATAGAGGAGCGACAGTGCATTTATTTGTAAGTAGGCCATGAGCTGTATTCATAAATGCATGCATGCTTTCACCTCTTGTATGCTGCTTCTTTTCCAAAGATAAGGGTCTATAGCAGTTGACTGGCTTACTTTAAATAGCTCAAACTCGACTCACGGCTGGCAGATTTCCTGTTGTTATTTCATGACTGTACACCTCTGTAAAGCATTGGCATTCTTAATTTTTGAAAAGCTTTTCTTTGATTTGAAGAGTCTCGAAGGGCTCTCAGCAGGTAGCTGTATTTATCAGACAGGCTGATTCCTCTCGTGTCTCTCTCATATATGTCCTCAGAAGAATTGTCTTTGAAAACACAAAGCCATATGGTTTCAGGTAAACCAGGCCAGATAGAAGTCTGGCTTATAAAAATCAGGTAGATAAGGATGAAGACTTTGGCCTGTGATCATCTTTGGCCACAGTGTCTAGAGATCTCTAATTTAAATGCTTTTTACTCATTTTTCATTTTTATACAATCATACCACTGGAACATTAAAGCCAGACATTCTGTGCTATCACATATGAATTAAGTGTTGCTTTGTGAAGGATCAAACCACCAAGCTTTCCTATTTTAGGACAGAAGACCTCTTTCGTGTTAGAGTTTAGATACATTTCTCTCGAGAAGCAATTATCCTGAAAGACTTCAATGTACCCTGTGTGGTATTTTTTGACTAATGTATTTCCGAAGGTCAGTTAAAGGTCTTCAAGGGAACTGTTTCCTATAACAAACTAGGTCTAATTGATGTTAGGTTCTAAAACATATTGGAGGGGGGGGGGTAGCTAGCTACAAGTAGCCAGCAAAACTAGCTTACTGTAACTACATTTTTCAGTAGCTTGACAGAAGTGACTCTACTTTTAAAATAGTGTAGCGTTTCCGCTAGCAAGCTATTTTGTAAACAAGTAGCAGTATAGCAGCCCAAAATTCTACAACATCCTTTATTTATGTATTTTTTTTATTTTTTTATTTATTTGCATGTACCAAAGTATTTAAGCAACTTGTATAGCGCAGCTACATTGCACATAATTATGATACCTTTTCTAATTAGAGAATTTTGTTTTTGTATACTAAAGAAAGAACAAAAATGCACAGCATATTTAAATAAAATAATGTAAAAAATAGCAATAGCAATACATTTATAAATAAAAAAGCAATAAAAATAAATAAAATAATTATGTTTATTAGTGCCTGTGCAGTGATTTTCTTTTTCTGTTCTTTATTGCAATGTAAAGCAGATCAGAGAAAAAATATCATGGACAGTGCTCTACAATCTGATAAATAATGCATCTTTTCATATTAAATTCATAACAAATGAATACATATTACTTTAAATGTACATAGTTATTTGTAATCTGATACAATTCAGTAAAAATATCACCCTTTTATACATTAAAAATATTAGCTGCATTGTTCTACTTTTTTAAGAGTATGCAGTTTGATTTGAATTACTTTATATTATGGTTATTTTGATAATTTATATATCTGTCAGTTATTTCTTTGAAAAATTATTTTAATCTTCTTTATTTATTACAAATGTATTTAAATCTTCTTACGAAGGAAAGTAGAAAGTAGAAGTTAAATCAGTAAATGAAACACTTTCAAGAGCTTTTTTTCCCCGCAGCAGCTCGCTTTCTATCCTCAGCTGTTTTCCAGATGTGTTTTGTCCATAGAAATGCATTGATCAGTGCTAAAAGAAAATTGTGTCCACTGTGCACATACATGATTAATTGATCATCAAATTTGTACTCGATTATTTTTAATCATCAGTTATTATTTGTGTTATTGATTTGTTGTTGCAGCCCTACTTGAAATTACGTGTAGCTTGGAAACTGTTTTGATAAAACATTGTTGCAGTGACAGTAATTTAGTAATTTATGTCAGGAGTGCAAAATAATAAATCTGTATTTGTCATATTTGGAATGTAAATTCACCACGCATTCATATTCAGTCACGTCTGACTGTCATACTGGGATTGAAGCGATGTGGCTTGGTAAACCTTGTAATTCCAGAATAAAGGCTACTAATGGCTGAATAAAACAAAAGAATAATGATAAAGGAAGAATGAGGATAATGTCTCATACCTGGCGGAGGTGTGAAAGGTTCGTCGAGTGAGAACAATAGCATCATGAATGGGGCAGTTTGCCGAGCCAGACATGAGGCTACAGCACGCAGGAGAGCTTACAGGGGGCCATAAATCAATTTTATTAACCTTTTATTAGCCTTCTCTAAAAACACACATGACATGGTCTTAGAAAATGTTTAATAAAATTCACAGTTTTTAAGATTATGTCTTGAAATTTGAAATGAAGCATGATTAGACTTGTGGCTTTAGCTTCATTGTGTTTCTAAAATCATATCCTACAGCAACATATTTTTT